TAGTTATGCTTTCTTCTACTGTTAATCCTACCTCAACTCAGCAAGCGTCCATGTCATCCACGACAAAACCAATTAGTGCTCCAGGGATTCGGCCAACATATAGCGACTTACATCCAAATGGAACGGATAACGTAAGTTTAGGACGAGATTTCATCAGACCGAATGTAAACGGATTTATTCCAGGAATATTCAACATTAACAGCTCCTTCATACGATTCGTCACAGAATGCTTGCACAAAATTTATAAAGCGAAATGTCAATGATGCAGGTGCGCTGCTAATACCATATTTTCATAGAAATCCAAAGTTCAGTAAAAAAAAAAGTATTCCCATACAATCAATAAGAAAATTTTATTTAAATTAGCTATGCGAAATCGCACACAACCAATTACTGTCGCCGACTTCGACATACCAGAGCGAAGACTTATCGTATTTGGCCTGGAAGATGGCAAATGAAGGTAAACATCAACTTACTGAACAGTCAACAATTTCAATTTTATTCATGCTGAATGATTGGGTTAAAGTTTCAGAGCAGGAAAACGAAAGTGCCGCCCGACTCATACTCCAGGATCGAACTGCAAAAACATGTTTTGCATCATTCCTAGCATATGATTTCAAAAGGGCGATTGGGCTAAAATCTACATCTCTAACATAAATAGATAAATAAATCAATAAGACTCGCTGAGATACGATAGGCGGTATCCAAAAACGATTTCATGTTTCTGAAGATCCCTCAAAATATCTGTGCCACTGAATCGCGAAGAAAAGTTCACTTAAAGAAAGGGCTTAAAGGCAACCAGTCAAAATCAAGATTATCAAGTGTGAACCCGCCCTGAGCTGATTCTTAAACACGATTGGATTGAAACAGGAGGTATGTAGTTCAAATATTAATTTGAAGGTTAGGGAACAATGCCTTCTTTACGTTACCATGCCCAATCAGTAATTTCCCTTCAACAGTAGCGACGTTGACTTTTTGTCGCCAGCAGTGCTCTCTAACCAGAATGCCATGTGATTATTACGGGAGATGGAATCGCTCCAATGCAACTTGTCTCCTCAGTCTAAATATATAGGGCGAAATCTCGGCTTTTTGATTTTACGTCGATTCGAATTGATATTCGTGTCCAGTACACAAAGATGATTAGAGATGGTAAAAAACTGGGAGCCAAAATTTACTTGGACACCTTTAATGCCTAGTTTTTTTGAGTCGAAATTACTTAGCGCAACAGAGTCAGAGTAGAGAGAAATGTATGGACTCCAAGAAAGAGAGTGGCTGCACGATCTCCAGAAAGATGATAGTTTGCATCAGACTTAAGCAAATTAGTTATTATACTTTTTGGGGTGCTATGTGAATAGATATGATTTGTACATAAACCACAATTGTTAGGCTTGTTTGTTTTGCTGATATTTTCGACCATTCTAGATAAATTCGTAGTTTTCGTCGTAATGTGCCTACAGTAACCACGGATTGTTCGCAAAAAAGCGAAAAAAAAACGCGGGTCCGCGTTTTTTTCATTTTTTCTCCATAACTACTTTACTAAACAGAATTTCTTGACATTTAATACATCATTCGATTTCTTTTGAAAT